GGTGGGACTTGAAAGTAAGGCTCCCGAGCAATGAAATTGTCTTAGGAAGCCACTTTGAGGTCCCGTAAACGTTTTTTTTTTACGTTTACCCATGTTTCAAACAAATAATCTATCAAAATTTATATATTTAAGCATAAGTTTCGCTTGGCTGACGAAAACAAGTTCAAACGGCTGATCGGTGGGACTTGAAAGTAGGCCTCTGGAGCCATGAAACGTAGAAGTATTATCCTGAGCTGTCTTTTTCAAGTTCCCTTGATAGTAGTGTTTGACGAGGCTCTACTTTTAGCTTCTTTATAGTCCATCCAATGTAAAATTAATTTTTAAACTTATAAAAAAAAAAGAAAAATCTACCGGGAATCGAACCCGGGACATCAAGAAGATGAGTGAGACGCGATGCCAACTGCTCCACCGCTTCAACTCGAACTTGTAACCTCAATTTAAGGTTTGTGAACAAATTATTACCACAGTTATATAAAGTATAAAAATGTTAAAAATGGATTTTTCCTGAAGAATATTAGCATTTTTGCACTCAGCGACCCTAAAAACCCCTGAAAACTCATATTGCGAGGTTTAAACATACGTATCTGATTTAATGCCGCTTAAACCGGCTATTCGGACCATAGTGCACTGTGGCGGTTAGGCGTCGCAGAGCGCCAGGGAGCGCTGTGAAAGCGACTCCTATGTATGTATATCGGCTAGTTGTCCAAAGAAAAAAAATTGTATGACAGGACGTCTGCAAAGTCGCAAACGGAGGTACGTGGCAGTGGCGTGGCGTGAATTGCGATGTATCGATTGTTATGCCATTTCAGCCTATGGTAAAGAATCGATTATTAAGGTGTTCGCTGCGAACACCCTGTGTATCGATCCTTTTCCATAGGTTTAAATGGCCGATTAATCGATGTATCGCATAGCACGCCACGCCACTGGTACGTGGTATCACAATTTTCGTGACCCATGCATGTCCATGTCGCCGTCCTTGGGGAGAAAGATCTTTCGGTCGTGTTCATAGTTGTTCCTTAAAAAAAAAACATGACGCGTGGCACGGTGCCTTCTGTTGGACTATCTGAGGATGGACCCGCCCAAAACTCCTTCATTTCGGAGGGTATGCAATTTGATCTCCGGAGTGTTCAAATAGTTGCTTGAGTAAGAGCTGCCTTGCGGTACCGAAAGCCGCATGCTGCGTGGCACGGAGTCCTCTGTTGAACTATTTATGGTGATTCGATGGACGCCATACTTTGTGTCAAAATCACATGCTATGTATTGCATCGATTGGTGCCATTTTTTCAGCTACTCTTTATTTCTCTCGATATTGAGATCGCAATTCTGTTGTTAGGATACTGAAGAATTCACTTACCCATTAACAAACAAATTCAACGTAATATAGGGGTGGTTTTTTAGAAAGAAAATTCGAAAGAAAAATCGCATTCGAGTGCAGTGTCGATATCAATATCAAATTCGATATTTTTTCTCTAAAAAACCACGCCTTCATTAAGTTATTTGTTTGTCAAAATTGGTAAGTGAATACTTTAGTCTCCCGACAACAGAATTGCCATCTCAAAATTTGAAAAAAATAACAAGTAGCTGAGAAAATGGAACTGATCGATGCGATATGTCGTTTGCCGTTCTGACACAAAATATAGCGTCTATCAAATCACCTAAGAATGGATCCACCCAAAATTCCTTCATTTTGGAGGGTATGCAATTCGATCTCCGGAGAGCTAAAATGGTTGCTCGAAATAAAATCAGACGTGCGGCAACGAGAGCCATATCACGCAGCGGGATGCATTCTATTGAATGAAGGGGCTTGCAAGCCACTACAAAATTTTGCCTCTTCGTGATGGAATTTACAAATATCTAATGTAGTTTTTCCTCCAAATGACCACTAATTAATAAATCAATATTTGATTATCTGTTTCAGAGCGCTTGCACCAAATTAGGAAGTCCTCTCTTGCTCGAATATTCTGTGATAACTCCGATAACATTACTATGATGCAGAGGAATGTGTTCCTGAGACCATCGACGACTGAGTAAGTTCCGTTTATATCTGGACGTCTTTAAATCAAAAGGGACTTGATCTATTATGACATGAGCCCTGCCGGGCATTTATTCTTATGGATCTCAAAGCTCATATCATAAAGGGAGAAGGTGGTGAATTGGTGCTGGGTCCGCGCTATTTCGCAGGGGAAACAAAGCCAATGTTGAATTTTGAAGCAATGCAATCAAGATCCATGTTTTTTTGTCTCTGTCGCCGATTTCAACGGTGAAACTGCAGGGACGCCTTTTTCGTTTACGGTATATTTTAAAATCCCTGCTGTCATATTATTACAACAAAAGAGAAAAACCATCGCTATCGCTCAAAATTTTCACAGAATATTTCTTATACAGACTGGACAAATTTGAAGAGTTTTCAAAAAATGCCGTTTGGTATTTTTCCTCTTAAAAGTAAATGCGACCGGAAAGCTGCAACGTCACAAATTCTCAAGTAGCAAATAGCAATGATCGCGATACATAGCGATTTTATCGGTTAGTTGTCGTGATTATATCGGTGGCAATATACACTGAAAAAAATATCTCGGTGTATTTACTAAGAAAAGGGTAAAATTACCAAGAATTCAGGGTTCTATTTGATCCCAGTTTTTTCTTGGTAAAATTACCATTTATGGAATTGGTAATTTTAATCTCTGTAAAATTATTGACTTTCTCGGTAATTTTACTGGACCTTGGTAAAAGCGCCAATTTTTTTATCGACTGTGGTAGAATTACCGAGATAAAATGGCAGAGTTACCGGGAATCGATTACCAATAAAAGTGGTATTCTTACCTGAAAAACAGTAAAAATACCGATTTTTAGGTAAGCTTACCAGTCTGTCTTTGTAAAATTACCAATAATTGGTAAAAAAAAAGTGAGATGGTAAAGGTACCAACGGACCGTGGTAAAAACGCCGAGAATTTTTTTCAGTGTATAGAGCAATTTTATCGCCGATAAAATTGCAGTATATCCAGATTTTTCCGTTGAAAAATGTTTTTTGGGTTGAGCTGCAATATCCTGTAGTTTCACCATCAATATGATGCCGACTGTGCATGATTTGAAAATTGTGCGTAGGAAGCACAAATCTATCATCTGTTCGTATCATCACAATTTAAATTTTTTTTTAAGCTTGCCAGTAGGGCTCGCTTTTTGAAATCACTTGGATGTACCATAGTACAGCACACCGATAAACCAATGCTATTCAACGGGCCGTCCAAATATTTTTTCCTCGGACCCGTTTTTTTGTCTTTGAACCGTTATACTGCCAAGCCCTGATGGTCTTTTACCAAAAAACTGAATGAACTGCTGATTGGAAACCCTTGAGAACATTTTCCGGTCAAAACCGTATTATTTCATTTGACAGATCCTTCAAAAATCCTTTTTTACGCTAGAGCGATTTGAATCTAGAATATTTTTTCCCGCCGCACTTTAATGGGTGCTTCGTACCCATTGACTATACAACATGAGCCCTATGCATTACTCCATGATAGAATGCCATATCAAAACAACTGATATTATTAGCTCTTGGTTCAGCGATTCATTCAAGCTCATGTCTCCGAAATTTCAGTTGTTCGGCACGCTTTTCCAACATATTCATGTTGGATGTTTCTCCTTGTTTTTTTTTCTTCAAAGAATGCGTCTAACCTCTGATTATTTGCCGTTTTTGTTGCAGCAACGATCTAATGCCGTGCAGCGAGGAGATCATCCCGAAAATGAAGCTCGAGGCTTGGCGGGAGCAGCACGTCAAACTCAACCGACACATGTCGTGAAACACCGCTCACGTTGACGAGCTTACTGTGATGCTGGGACATGATACATATGTCGCTTTAAAGTTGCCAATACACCAAATAATAAAAACCAAATAACTGACTCGATATCTTTATCTCACCCACAGCGAACTGAGACTGACTGTTGAAATTTACCGACAACCCTAGTAGCCAAAATACCATATAAAATACAAATGAAGATTCAAAAAAAATTCGTATCCAAATACGTATTAAATACATATTAAATACTGGAAAATACGTATTAAATACGGTATCCAAATACTGTATAAACTTGCTCTTTTTGCCGTATATTATTCTGTATCAAATACGTATCTAGATACGAATTAAATATGTATCCAGAAACGAATTGAATACCTGCTAAAAATTTTCCATGGAATTCCGTGGTGTTTTCCATGGAAAATTTCTCCACGTAAAATTGGTCACGTAAAATTTCTCCACGGAAAATTTTACCATGGAACATTTCACCACAGAAAATTTGTACCGTGGAAACCTTCCTTAGCACTCATTGTGCCTCATGCAGGTTTCCACCATCAATTTACTATGGTGTTGTTTCTATAAGTCATCATAAAACTGTTCTACTCAAATTTGCTGGTTTTCTTAATATTTAATTAAAAAATTTACAAGTTTACCATGTAATCAAAATGAATGATATGAACTGTAGATTTTGGTTTCTGTCTGAGAAGCTTAATTGCATCTGGATGGTTTAAAAGTTGCCACCAATTCCCTGCGAATGGCTGTTCGATAAGATCAAAGGAACTGCCAGATGATAGGAAACAAATGGCGATTGCTGCAGCTGAACAAAGCAGGTAAATGTCTTGGAGTGTCTTTATGAAAGCTCTGAAAAATGAATAATGTACAGTGCATCAAAACCTTGAGTACAACCAATGATCAGCACTAAATTAAAACAATCTCAAGGTGAAGCCAACCAACATTTCTTGAGAAGTTAAAATAAGTTCTGAGGATAGCAAATAATTTTTATGGCTAAAAATGAGATAAAATTCTTGTTGAAAACCTCAAAATTATTGTATTGGTAGCCATAAAAATAGGAAGTAAATTATTGGACATCTGATAATTCGCTGAAACATCATTGATAAGGATGTGATGTTTTAGCCCTCTAGAGTTAGGAGTTTCAGGCCTCATCTGTAACTTCAGATATATCTCTCACACTACTCACATTTGTGAATAAAAATACCCAGTAATAGCTAAGGCTCAATTTAGACGGCCACACTTTTCCTCCACTTGTGTCAAATGAAAAGTTGGATCGTGTAATACAACACGAGAACACAACAATATTTTGAGAGGTTGAACAAAAATTTGAAAGTGACATCACACCAAAGTTTCCGTTCAACTTCTCGAACAAATGTTAGAGCTCGGGCATTATATGTTGAGACAAAGACGTCAAAAGTATTGTTTATGTCACCATTCACCAGTGGTGCCACCTGACTACATGTATCAACCTGTTAAGTGGTGCAAATTCAGAGCTAATCAGAGATTGACGATTGTCTTAACATACGATGCCCGAGCTCTATGTTCTCGTGTCCGTATCAAACAATCCAACTTTACACTCAAAATAAGTGGAGGAAAATTTGGACTATCTGAGGTGGGCTTTAGTTTCCATCACACGGCAAAAAAATCTAGGAGGGCCTGTAATTATGGTTTCTTTTTCAGTCCTAGTTCTCACCCGTGAATTTAATACACAGTCTATATGGGTTACGGCAAACGATAGGAGATGGCGATCTCATATGATTTGACAGAAATCTGATATTATCCCTTAGGGGGACGATGACATGAGCTGATGAGCAGCTAGGAATGGAATGCAGTTAGAGTGTTTAGCATGTGCTGAAAACACGATAAGGGAGACTGTGACCAAAATTCGATCACGGTTCATGTTTGAGGTGCTGACTCGGAGGAGTGACCAAAGAGAAGATAGAGAAAATGGTGAGCCCATATGAATCTACTATTCAACAAATAATGTTAGAATAGTTTATCAAAATGCAGAAATAAATGTACATAATGCTATGATTCTATATCTATAAAGAGGTTACTGAGCGCTGATGGATCACTACCTATTGGTGCCTACATTCAGTAATGGGAATTGCTAATCATTGTTATTCATGACTTACCTAGATTCAGTTCAAGGCCCTTGCATTCAACTCGGATTTGGCGTAATGTAGCGAAAGCAGGAAGTCAAGAAATATATACTGATCTGAGAATTACTGTAAAGTTTGCGAGAGCCTCACCTCACAGCGCCTGACATCTCGCCTCGTTGATAATCTAACCTCAAAATACCGACTAGGCAGGGCGAGGCAGAGCGGGGTGGCACATCTCCTGAGTTGCCGAATTGAATTGAGGATTTTTTATTTAAATCTGCATGATCTATAAAAACTCATTTGCCTATTTATTATTGAAATGCGTAACGCCAATAATGTTTCATATGTCACACCTTCAACTTTTGCGTTCTATTCTTGCTTTCATTTTTTTAAAATAAAATTTCAACATGAAATAGGGCAGGATTGCAACACAGGAGCCGGAGCTAAATCGTAAAGAAACACAAGATGAGTTGTTGGTTATCACTGCCAGAACATAATGTAAGTTTTAATTTTTTTATTTGATTTAAGTAGTTTCAGCTCGAATTCGAGCCTTCTTCGTTACGAAAGTAATGTTACCTCGAAGTTGGTAGATTTTGATTAAACTGAAAGTAAGCCAGCAGTGTATCGTGATGGATTCTTGGTAATCACTCCTCAAATTTTTATTTTGGCCATGCGTAGAAATAGAATGAAAAAATTCTGATAGATACATCTCAATTCTCATTGATTTTCCTATTACAGCTATTCGGTTCTTTCTACAATTCAATGTTGGTTTCACACAGGAGATTTGGAAGTATGATGAGTGAGCTTCAGTAAAGGCAATCGGATATAACTTGCTTTCAGGCGCTACTTTGCCTTATCAGTTTGTTACACACTTCCTTCATAGGCAGTTAACTCCCCCTACCCCAATGAAAATTCTAAAAAATTGAAAGTCTCTGTCTTTCTCCGTGCTTTCCACTGTACATAATATCATCCTATTGAATAGTCAGTGTCTAAACTAATCTTGCAAAACATAGACGTTTGATTTATAATTGACAGACTTTAAAGCTGTACCTACGTTGTATGCGTGGTTTGAAGAAGCTGCGTGTTTTCTGTTTTTTGACATACTATTGCGGTTATTTCAGTTGTCTTAAACAGAGTATAAGCGGCAAATTATTATTACATCTCTGTCAGCCATAGCAAATCTCTAAGTTGATCATATTTTAAATGAATACTTTCTCTGTGTGAAAAGTAATTGCTACCGACTGGTACAATTGTTAAATGGTGGGCATTGTCTTGGGAATGCCATGGTTGTAGGACGGTTGTAGCCAGTGCACTAATCAAGACTTATTCTGTGATAACTGATGACATGCAACATTTTAGTGGCCCTCATTAGTGAACTTCGGTGAGTATAGTTCAACTTAATTCTATAATGCATAACGAAACAGCAAATAGTTGCTGATAGTCAATGATCAAAGGCTTCCAGATTACCATGTTGATTCTTGTGGTGGTCTCCAATGTTTCACGGCGTTTCAATGCATGTCCTTTGCTATTCCGTGACACTCCCTTGGAATTCCATGTAGCCACCACGGAATCTTCTGCTGCCACCATGGAATCCCATGTAGTCACCATGGAAACCCAGGTGTCACCATGGAGTTCCGTGTCTCCTCCATGGAGTCTCCATGGAGTTCCGTGCCTTCTCCATGGAGTTCCGTGTCTTCACCATGAAATTCCATGGAAAACAGCACGGAATACCATGGAATTCCATGAAACATTTTTAGCAGGGATGAATTTACTGCATATCATGCATACCATTGATACAAATTTAACATGCATCTACTACATATACAAATAGTAGGAAGTGTATATGTAACACACGTTGGCAAATGAGTACATAAATAGGAGTATGTTTCTTATGCAAAAGATGTGTCCCTGTAGCCTTCAACTTATACCACTCAGAAAAGCTCCATTTTATGGGCAAATGCAAAAATCAGATACCACATGACCATATTTTACACTGCCTACTTAATTTTTGTAAGTTCTATCTTTTGAACATACGACTAACCATCTTAGAACTTTCTGCATCTTTCTTCTAAATTAAAAAATTACTTAGATTGGAGGCAAAATTTTAAAAAATTTCGGGGGTGGCCTCCCAAACCCCCCACCTACTGGGGGCGGTCCCCCCAGACCCCCCTTAGATAGTTTACTAAAAGAGAGGCCCGCTGACTGATCCGACCCCGGGGCCCACCGATGGATGTGGGGGGCCTGCTTGGGGAACATGACTGATACCTAGGTACTCACCATGGAGTGCACTCGCCGGGCAGGGGGAAAAATTAAATACATATAAAATACAAATTTTATTTCGCTATAAAATTCATCTATTTTATATGTATAAAATTTATATTAAATACTGAATCCAAATACTTATATTTAATACATGTATAAAATACATATATTATACTGTATCTAGATTCAAGTATTTAATACATGTATAAAATACATATAACATACGAATTAAATACGGTATTTGAAGATACCGTATCTGATACTAGTATTTTTGTTACTAGGGAAAGCTATAGACAAATTAAAGAATTAAACACTAAAAAGTGGCCCGAAACTGTATTTAACAAGGTGGAGAAATGGTGCTGGGTCCACACCATTTTGCGGGGAAACAAAGCCAAGAAATACCAAAAATTAAAATTAGAGTCAAAAATAAATTTATATTTAAAAATTAAAATTATGTAATTAAAATTATGTAAAATTTATTTTTGACTCTAATTTTAATTTTTGGTATTTCTTGGCTTTTTTTCCCCGCAAAATGGTGTGGACCCAGCACCATTTCTCCACCTTGCTATAGACAAAGAAGACACAGGGAGTGTTGCTTACATTTAGCAACAATCAGAACTATTGAATAACTATTCAACTTCATAATAATTACATTCATAATAATACAATGGATACGACTGTATTCACATAGGTTTATAGCGTTACGATGCCTATGTATATAGAACTCTGTTACATTGCTTATTATAACTTCCTCTGTTACCTGTCTTTGTTGCCTACATTTAGCAACAATCAGAACTATTGAATAACTATTCAACTTCATAATAATAATATTCCTAATAATACTGCGGATATGACTTTATTCACCCGGGTTTATAGCGTTACAATGCGTATGTATAGAACTCTGTTACCACGGAGACATATTTGGTTGAAGCTTAATTAGCTTTAACAGGGAGTATGAAGCGATCCTATTGGTTGAAATGAGTGGTATGGACTGAGGGAGAAAAAGAGACCAACTATGGGGTCTCTCGTGGGTTGCTTTTAGTTTGTCTATACCTACGCCTTTGGTCCATTGCAACTGCCTTTACCAATAGGATCCCTCCATATCCCTTTTTTTCTTTGTCTATCGATTTGTCTATACATTTCAACAATCAGCACCCTGGACACTAAACAAGGTCTGGACCAAAAAAGCACATCACGAGTTTTTCTCTGAAATCTTACGAAGGAAACGATTCACACAACGAAAACAGTGGCGAGACGTGAATGGTCGATTATCGAGATTTCCCCATTTGAAGCTATGATAAAGAATCGATTATCAAGGTGTTCGTCGCGAACGCCCTGTTTATCGGTCCTTTGTCATGGATTTAAATGACAGATAAATCAGTACATCGCAAAACACGCCATGCCACTGGACGAGAAGTTCGGAAATCGGCCCCTGAACGAAATATTTTCAAGTATTCTTAACACACATCAAGCTAGGGGCTTAGAAGATAACACGCATAAGTTAATTTTTTTTTAAAAAATTGAGATATTAAATATTAATGGTTAAACTAATCTAGAAATATATTTCGTGAGAAATTAACTTCTATAATCAAATTTAAGCGTCAAAAAGTATGTACGCCGCTAACCAAAAGTCACCTACCGTCACTCTAACTTTTTTCCTACTTGGGATAGAAATTTTTAATTATAGTTACACTTGTTCGATGGACAAATGCATATGAATTTGAAAAAAAAATGAAATTTTGGGAACGAGTATCCGTCGTTTACGAGTTTATAGCGGCTAACATACCAATGCATTCACACAAAAGATGCGGACATAGTATTGACCTCTTGTAATTAAACAGAGGAAGATGAATCGGATTTTTTATTGTTTTATAAGACATTACTTAATCCATACAATGTGTGCAAAAATATAATGGTAGTATCAAGTTGAAAAACGCTAACCCTGCAAGTTTAACTAATCGCGCTGAACACGGTGAGGTCGGCGCTGAACGCATATTAACGCCTACCAGACTATATGAATACTTCACACATTGCACGTTCACTGCCATGCGCCGACCGTGCGCGCTGAACGCATGTTAGCGCCTACAAGACTGATAGAATACCTCCCGCATTACGCGATCACTACGGTGCGCGCTTGGACCGTTGAAAATGCGTCATTTCTCGGTGCCGGACCTACAGCATAGTACACACCATTTCTAACCAGCGCACACCACGAGCCTGTAATCCTAGTTTTAACTGGTTCACAGAAACGAGGAATCGTCCTGTAATCCTCGTCCCGTTACACAAGTTTTGGCGGATCAGTGTCGGCTATTGATGAATATTGCCGACGATGGAACGACTCCTCCACCAAATGTTCACCTGCACTGGAAAAAAAAAAAAAAAAAACACATTGGATCTAGAGTCCAGACTCTTGAAAACATTGACAAGAAAAAATACTCTTGATTCAATCGGATTTTTGCTTGAATCAAAACGAAATCCGCTCAAATTAAGAGGCTTGATTTTTGATTTAAGCTAGATTCTGATTGAATTAAGAGTACTTTTTCTTGTCGATGTTTTTAAGAGTCTGGACTCTAGATCCAATGTGTTTTTTTTCCAGTGTGTACCGTAGTGTCGTCATAAAGGGAGCTTCTGTAACTGTTGCACAAGAAGTGCAGGAGTCCCGTGAACAGAACTGTTTTTTTCAGTGTGCCGTCATTTTTCTTCTCTGTGCGAAGAAAGTTCTGCATAAATTCAAGGGATGATGTCAGTTTGCTCTCCTTTAAAAAAATATTATGGAGGTGGAGCTTTGCAGACACCGTAAATGAGATTTGTGATTCAGGACTTACGCCGCGCCGTCGATATTCTCTTTCGGCAGGTTACACGCTCAAATTTCCGTCAAAGTCCGATCAAAATGATGACGAGAGTTATCTAGATTGATGAGTAAAATTAATTAAAACAGCGTGTTGATTGAAATAAGCATGAAATAAGCACGTGTGTGTGGAAATCAGATGAAGGATAAGCCCCACAGCTCCATCATCTACCATCAAATTTTTGCAGGCCGCAGAAATTTGATGGTAGATGGTGTTCACAAGTCACCATTTGATCTGAAATTCATGGAAATTTGAGCGTGTAACTAGCGCATTTCGTCTCTTATGACAATCATGGACCTTTCTTCTTCCCCTTACGGCCATGTGTGTTGTTTTTCGTGGCGTCAGCTTCGAGCTCCTTCTCCAACCTCTCCTCCTCGATGACGAAGGACTCGTCATGGTAGACGAGATCCTCGTAAGCCTCCTTGACGGCTAAGCAAGGGATCTCAAGATGGACGGATCCGTTGGGGTGCCGAGAGGTGGCCGTGAAGTAGCCGGCCTCCTGGAGAAGCTGCACCAGGAGGTCCTTATCGTGGGTCCCGTTGAAGTTGGTCACATTCGCGTTGACGGCCTCTCGAAGCTGAAATAGGTCCGTAATCGAGATCACCCATTGCGGAGCCAAATCCGTCCCATGCTCGCCAGCCTCCTGTAGGTGCTCACCCAACAGTTCAAACCTGTAATAATTCGTCTGATTTTTACTACAAGGCTATAAATACATATACGCTGGGGAAAAAACACATTGGATTTAGAGTCCAGACTCTTGAAAACATTGACAAGAAAAAATACTCTCGATTCAATCAGATGTTTGCTTAAATCAAAAGGAAATCATCGAGTAATAAAAATATATACGTTTGGAGACTTGAACACGAGGTTAGAAAAGTAGACCCGATCACCCGTTCAGTTACGTGGATTCTTTCGAAAAACCGAAGCGCCTTCATATTTTGCATACACTGGTAAAAAAACACATAGGATGTAGAGTCCAGACTCTTGAAAACATTGGCAAGAAAAAATACTCTTGATTCAATCAGATTTTTGCTAAATCAAAAGGAAATCCGCTCAAATTAAGAGGCTTGGTTCTTGATTGAAGCAAAAATCCGATTGAATCTAGAATATTTTTTTCTTGTCGATGTTTTTAAGAGTCTGGACTCGAGATCCAATGTGTTTTTTTTTTCTAGTGCATACTTCTAAAATTCCGAGACGTTTCGACACAAAACTGAGTCATTTTCAGTCGGAAAATAAATTAAAATTAAAAAGCATCAATAAAAAACCTGAGACCTACACTGCCGTGCTAAGGAAGAACGCCGTATGAGCATTCGAGGGTTGCCATTGCCTTCAATAAAATGTTCATTTTTGAGGAAAGTTATGAATATTTTTCCTCGAAATTTTCAGGAACTCGAGGTGAAATTGCAAATAACATTATATGAAAAATTGGAATAAAAATATTCATAAGTTTACCAGGAAATTCGTGTTTTATAAATAGAAATTTGGCAACTCCTGGAGGGTTCATACGGCGTTTTTCCTTAGCACGGCAGTACTTGATGGTGGCCGCTATCTAGTTATTTCCCTCGGATCTCAGCCACCAACATGTGAGTCTTAGGTTTCTCTATCGATACTTTTCAATTTTTAATTCATTTTCCGCCTGATAACGACTCACAACAGTTTTGAGTCGAAACGTATATTGTGTTTTTAGAGTTGTATTTTCACCCTTGTTTCCCGTTTTCACCCGTTGTTTTTATTTTTTCATCTTACCATTGTCTCGGGCTGCTTTGTAAAAATGTGTACCTATACTCTCCCTATGTGGGTACTTAAAGAGAGATGCGCAATAAATCAATCTACTGAGAAATAAATCGATAAATCAATCTAGTACTTTCAGAGTACTAAATAAACTAGCCCTGCTAAAAATGGTGTGTACAAATGAGTAGAAAATCAAAGTCATATGAATAGACTCCAGCTCATATGAAGAGAATTTCAACTTATATGAATGGAATTTAACTCATATGAACAGAATCTTTTCTATCCAGTTCCCGCCAACTCATATGACTAGAGATTTCAACTCATATGACCATAGAGGTTTCAACTCACATGAGTTCAGCGTTGAATCTACCGTGTCTGATATCTCAAAAACTAGTCACCGCATCAAAAAAATCATGAGAACAAAATATTTTTATTTTTCAAATTTGCACACTTTATCGGTGTCCCTGGTCAAAAACATCGCTTCTGAAAAATGAAAAAAAATGGAATTCATATATGAGTTGAACTTTTCTACTATCTTATGAGTAGAGTATTCTAGTAATATGAGTAGAATTTCTTCTCATGTGAGTAAGATTTCTACCCATATAACCAGGAAGTTCTACTCATGTGAATTGGCGAATTCTGAATAGCCTACTCGTAATTTTCAGCAGGAAGGGTAGCGAGAAAGTAACAAGATTTAGTAATCCATTCAAACCAAGGCGGATAAAGAATGGTGGTCGCATTTCGTACCCTCTGGACGACACACGGTATCGGGTACGTGGGCCGGCCGAGGCCGGGGGAGCCGGCTCAACTTCGAATTGCATGGCAAAAGCCGTACCCTCCTGACGTCACAGTGCTTCAAGATGGCAGCCGAAATCGAAATGCGACCACCATTCTTTATCCGCCTTGCATTGAAACGAGTAAGATTTGCGAACCTGAAAAGTGGTTTATAGATGCTGAAGAGAGGCAACGAGGGAATAAGATCATCCTCATCAGCTCCCTCCAAGTACCCGACAACGGTCCCGGTGTTGAAAACCTTGATCTGTTTGTCGGAGATTCTGTAGCCGTCGAAGTAGTGCTTGATCCCGTGGAGATCAACGTTGCTGTGGTCTTTGCTCCGACCCAAGCGCCCGATGAGTGTCTCTACCTCGGCCAAGGTGAGTCCGTAATGCTGGCTGATCTGCGGGTCGGCGAAGATGGAGTGGTAGAAGAGGTTGGCGTCGTGCCACTGTCGGTGACTCCCCATCCGGAACACCCCGGTCAGCAAAGTTCGGGATACGAACTCCGAATGCTTCGCCGTCTTCCCCAGCGAGAAGTAGATGTCGTCCACTTCCACCTGTGACAAATATGAACCACTGCACGTTAAGAAGAAGTAGGTAACCGCACTGAAAAAAAAGTCTATAAATGATGAAATTTCAACTTTTTTTTTTCTTGGAGGATGACAATACTTCCTCTCTACCCTAGGGGAGCGAGAAAGTAAAAATCTCGGTGTATTTACTAAGAAAAGGGTAAAATTACCAAGAATTCAGGGTTCTATTTGATCCCAGTTTTTTCTTGGTAAAATTACCATTTATGGAATTGGTAATTTTACTGAGAAATCTCCGTAAAATTATTGAACTTTCTCGGTAATTTTGCTGGACCTTGGTAAAAACGCCAATATTTTTTATCGACTGTGGTAGAAGTACGGAGATAAAATGGCAAAGTTACCGGGAATTGATTACCAATGAAAGTGGTATTCTTACCTGAAAAAACAGTAAAAATACCGGTTTTTAGGTAAGCTTACCAGTCTGTCTTGGTAAAATTACCAATAATTGGTAAAAAAAGTGAGATGGTAAAGGTACCAACGGACCTCGGTAAAAACGCTGAGAATTTTTTTTCAGTGGACCACAACTTCGGGTCTCATGCATGAAGTTTTTTTCTCCGTGTGGGATACTGAGTACTGACCGGAAGTAGATTTTCCTCGTCCTTGCCGAGCATGGCTGCGACGGCGAGGCGGTCGAAATTGTCGACGAGGAGGATGCACTTGCGCCGGTGGTGGGTGAAGAGGAGCCTGGTCAGAACGTCTACTCCGCACTTGTAGAAGCCGATCGTCCGGTGGGGCCTCTGGCTGTGAGACTCGTAGGCCGCGAACTCTTCCTTGTTGAACGCAGAGAGCGACTCACTCTTCGAGAGGTACCCGTGCGTCCGGAACATCCGCTCCACCTCGCTCCGGAAAGTCTCGTGGAACTCCGTTGGAGTGGAGCCGTTCACCGACTCCAGGTCTAGAAATACGACCGGGGCGCTAAAACCAGGAATAATACTTTCAATTGGAGCGCGCGGTTAACTACGCTATCACTGGAAAAAAACATAGAGTACATAGAGTCGTTATGTAAATGGGAGAGCTGGCGCCATGTTCTGCTTGACGAGTTCCGAGCCCGGTGTGCGCCGAGTTCGGGTCACTTTTTCGATACATATTCGATCCAAAATGGCGGTGTGGAATACGCGGTGATTCCTATCTTCTTTGTTTACATTGGATGGCCAAGTACCCGTGTATCGCAAACAATCGATTATGTATCGAAAAAGTGACCCGGCGTCACACAGGAGTCTTGGAATTCGGGACCTGGAAAATGCTTAAAAGTGACGCCAGCTCACCCACTTACATTACGACTCTATGTACTCTTTGGAAAAAAAAACACATTGGATCCAGTGTCCAGACTCTTAAAAACATCGACAAGAAAAAATACTCTCGATTCAATCAGATTTAAGCTTAAATCAAGAACCACCCTGGTAAAAATTTGCGATAGGAGCTGCGTTTCAAAATACCATAGGAGTTCCTTTAGCCGACTAAAAGAGGCTATTGAAAATCATATAGCTGGCTGTAGAAAGCGGAGCAAATCATATAGCCGGGCTATACGAAGCTATAAAAAAGTATACAGTCGGGCTATATTTCCTATCGCCGGGCTTTACACTTTATCGCCATTGGCTATAAAAGGCTATAAGAAATTGTGTAGAAATTCGTGCGCTTTGGAAATCATTAAGTTTGATACGGAACCACCTTAATATTTACAAAACACACGTTATATTTTCCTTTAAAACATATTTTTTTTTCATCAATTAAAATGAGAATAGTCCATACTGGATGTGCAAACATTTCAAAATCAGGAGTTGAAAAACGCTGACTCCGCAAGATTATATTGGAGCCTAACACAGAGCGGAGCGGCGTGCTGTCAGCGATAAGCGCCTACAAACCTAACAGGGATACTTCACGCATTGCGCCATGCGCTAAGGCGCTTTTCGCGCTGGCTGCCCGCCCGCCGCGCGCGCACCGTACGACGGCCGGCGCTTGAAGCAACTATTTCACAACAGAGGTACTGCACAGTATCATACGAAATTGAAGGCGATCCAACGTATTAAGAATGACAGGCATCCTTCAAAAGTACGGAGCTTTCCTCGCAAAATAAATCAAGATACTACGGCACAAAAAGAGAGCGGTAGTCCAAAAACTAACTAAGTCCTAGTATCCGTAATTAGTAAGGTTTAGCATAAACTTCATCGTCTGACTGTTGCTTAATCGCCATCAGCTATAAAAGGCTATAAGAAATTGTACAGCCGGCTACGGAAGCTATTGGAAATCTTACAGCCGGCTTTAGGTCTATAGTATTTTGGAACACACATTCTACCGCTTATTTTTACCAGGGCAAGCCTCTTAATTTAAGCGGATTTCCTTTTGATTTAAGCTTAAATCTGATTGAATCATGAGTTCTTTCTCTCGTTAATGTTTTAAAGAGTCTGGACTCTGGATCCAATGTGTTTTTTCCCCCTAGTGATTGGCCCTTTTTTCGGAAATAGTCTACGAGCCCTAATTTAGCCACACAAAAATTGGTCTCTTGGCTCCAAAAGTCGATTATTCCCCTAGTAGCAATGGCTGTTGAGAAAAGTTGTAAAAAACTGGTGAATTTTAAGTTCTCTTAAAATTTACTTCAAAACCACTTAAAAATTACATAAAAAACTCTTTAAATATTTGTATCAGGAAACCCTTTTTTGGGCTTTTTTTTATATAAAATTGAAAAAAAAATTATGTAAATTTGTTTACGTAAATTTTAAGTAAAGTTTCCGTATTTTTTTTATAAACTTCCTGCGGGCAAAGACAAGGGAAAAAAGTGGTGAACAGAAAAGTATAAAAGCGCACGTATTTTACTTATTTTTTGCATTCATTTACCTACTCATTTTTGCGGAAGGACACCAACCAACCACTCATTTATGAACATTCTTGGCCATTTTGATTTGATATTAGAATCTGAAGATTTGCAGTAGCATTTCGTCACCTTCCGGCCAAAGTATCACAAGCGCCATGCAACGTTTAAAAATTTCCACCGCCATTTTATTTTTTTACAGAGAAATTGTTGATGAATCTGTTTGAAACTGAATTTTATCGGCAGCGCAGAGAAAATTGAGTGAAATTTTCGAACGGCTTTGTTGGACAATTTTTCTGTAAAATAATAAAATAGCGCCGGAAATTTGTAAACGTCGCATGACGCTTGTGATACTTTGGCCGAAAGGTGACGATTTACCTAGTGCTTTTCTTGCGGGACGGTCGGCTGCCCTTTTCTGCACTAATGTGCTGGTTACACGCTCAAATTCCCATCAATTTCCGATCAAATGGTGACTGGTGCGCACCACCTACCATCTTTCTGCGGCCTGCAAGAATTTGATGGTAGATGATGAAACTGTGGGGCTCATCCTTCATCTGACTTCCACACAACCGTGCTTATTTCATACCTATTTCAATCAACATGCTGTTTTAATTAATTTTACTCATCAATCTAGATAACTCTTGACCGCCATCTTGGTCATAATTTTGACCGGAATTTGACGGAAATTTGGGCGTGTAACCAGGCCATAAGAGCTACATTTCTCGACATGCCCGTTCCCTCCCTACAGAGGTACTCTAGAATTGGATGGTCACCTCGATAGATGACTACGGCAGATGGAGGGGTGGTTCTTGCAGATGGAGAGGTTGCCAAAGAAGACAGCTTTTTCTGCCATGACGCTGGTGAGGTTGGCACCTCTGGAGTCGACAGGGATCTGGAAGAAGTGCTTGAGCATGTGGAGGTTGGTGGACTTGCCGAAGTTGGGTGGCGCCACCAGGACGAGCTGCTCGCGGATGTCCAGGAAGTGTTTGATGAACGCCGTTTTATCGACGTACGTCCGACGGCCGACCACTCCACGGAAAGGTTCTCTCTCATCTTGGTAAATCTTCTGCCGAACAGAAGTTTCAGGTCGTTAGCCCTCCACTATAAATAGAGATAGTATACGTCATAGTTCCTTTGGGAAGGAGTCTTTGTATACCCAAGTAGGATTTTACACCGGAAAAATTGTGACACTCTGAAATTGAGTTGCTATGTTTTCAAGATGTTCTGGCGATCAGAACCATCCACATCTGATCGATTATTATCAATCTTGTCGTAATATTATCTCTATACAACCGTGTTGGATGAAATTGCAGTTTTATCTCAATCCATCCCGATTTTTTGTTTGAAAATGCTGCGTTAAATCGGCATCAGTATAATCGCGTTTTATTGTTTTATGCGATGAAATCGCAAATCGAAATTTTCAGTCGAATAATAATACAGTAAATTGACGCATGGATAAAACTGCGCAATATTTTCCGGTTAAATCTCAACTCATCGCGGTCACCACNGGGGGGGGGGGGGGGGGGGGGGCACCGATATATAGAGAGTTCGGACTTGTCGGAATATAGAGCTCTTAGGAGAAAATGGGGCAGCCAACCTTCTAACACAAAAAATGTCCCTGCCAATCTTCAGATTCTGATATCAAAAGAAGATGCAAAAGAATGTTCATAAATGAGCGTTCCTCCGCAAAAAAGAGTGAATTTATGCAAAAACTGAGTCAAATACATTGTTTTAAAAACGACGGGTCCCAACAATTGCACCATAATAAATCACTCTGGATGATTTTGAATTCATAGGTTGGCTGCCAACTTGGGTCCTAAGAGCCACATGACCTAACCGCGAAATTACTGACATGCCCGTACTCTCCCTATAATACAAAAACTTAAAGTTGAGATTTGTTCGTTGACGAAAGTTCGAAACAACTTATCTCCATTGGAGTTTCCACTATTTCCGTTCTTTTTTTTCTTTTTTGAGAAGTAACAAGCCAACTTCAAGGACTGAAATTTTTACAGAATGTTCTGCTTTCAGAGAGGAAGTATCAGCGAAGTTTTCTAGTAATAACGTCGACTGATATTCCAAATAAAAAATAAAACATGATAGAAATTCTGCAACATCGCAGAATCCATTGTCAAAATTTCCGTTTCTATTTTTTGCTATCAATGAGGAACAAGCCAACTTCATAGACTGACATTTTTCCAGAATCCTCTGCCGACGGAGAAGAAAAATCAAATAAGTCTTCAAGTAAAAACTAGTTGACTAGTTTTCCTAATAGAAAATCAAGTATGGTAGAAAGTCAGCAATCCCCCAAACGGAGATACGTTGTTTCGCACTTTGGTCATCGAAATAGCAGAACACAGAGGAGTATCCTGAGATCAGTTTAGCGAAATTGACGCCCAGTTGTGTCGAATGGACCACTTGGATTGCATTTTGCAAAACGGAACCAATAGCATTCCAATGTTGCTAGGATTGTGCATATGGGCAACTTACATTTTTTGTCAGGAAATTACTGGAATCGTGCAAAATATTAAATTTACAAGGCAGTTTGTATCTTGAATTTATAGTTTATTGAAATTAAAGATCAAACATGTTTAAATGATTAATTTGTATTTTCAGAGTGAAAAAAGTTGCACAATCATAGCGACATTGGAATGCTCTTGTTTCCTTTTTGCAAAATGCGATCCACTTGTAAAAGCGCAAATTTAAGCATTATGAAATAGGATTTCTTACCGAAATTCCACGCAAAATACGAGTTAGAAATTGAAAATCAATGGAAGTAACTCCTAATAAGTATAATTACGTTTTTCAATCCATGAATTGAAACTTCCCGCGGATCATAAAGCAACCAATGATTGGCCCGAGTTAAATCGCACACAAAACGTTACCATGACAGTCTCTACGGGGTGAAAATATGCCAACGTCAATCTCGGCGCATCGCTCAGCTTTTGCGTTTGTTTACTTTGTTTTCTCGCATTTTCATTTTTGGCACTTAAATCTTTTTTAGAATGATTGATTCAAATCGGTGATAATCTTGATCTACGGATACTACAATGAGCTGATTGTGGCGCCTTGATGCAACTATTTGTGTTCCATGGGTGTGCGGGTTGCATGCTCAAAATTGAAGGCGCTTCCGCTTTTCTCACTTCTTCAGAAACGCATGAGAGTTGGCGTTAGTTTTAGCTCCTGAATAACAGAATACCTATGTTATGTAAGATATTATTGCTAAATCAGTCCTTTAGGTCTCGTTCAAATTCCAAAACAATTCCAACCAAAGTAGACCATTTGATGACTGTTGCTCAACATGCACCATACATATTGCTATCTTGTTCTGAAAAATTGCACTAATGTCGTTTTTCAAAATTCCTCATGCAGATAGGCTGATTTAATAAAATTTGTCCATTCATCCGTTTAATGGACTACATTTTGCAACACGGAATGACTATTTTCTGGCTTAGTTTAGAAACAATGCATGAGCCATCAGTATTCAAATGCAGGTAAGTGATTTTATGAATGACCTAGTGGTTCTTAATTGCAAATTTTAGCCAAAATGTTGAGGAGCTTGCAAACGCTGGGTAGTGGACAGTTTCAAAGTATGTCAACAGGTATCGAAGGTTAGCTTACCGCCAAAGGTCGTAAACTAGTGAGTTCTGGGTTGGAGGTTGGAAAAGGACAAGAATGTTCATCTGATGGTAAAAGAAATGCAAATTTCTGCAAGAAAAAAGGGAAACACATTTAAAGTTGAAAATAAGTAACGGATAGATAGAGATAAAAATAAACTATGTGACTTCTCATTGAAAGAAGGGTCATAAGACACAAATGCACATTCTTTTAGAAGAGACATCATATTAGTCATATAGGTTAAGAAAACGAAAACATAATGTTATTCATACTGAAAGAAACTATCTAATTTCCTGCAGATTAATATGTACATTACATACAAATAATGATGCAGAATGGTGTCAAGGAGTCTAAAACATGCTTCAATTTGTCTGATTTTATTAAAATTGGCATTGATCTCAGTTTAATGATCGTCATCGCGCTCGTAAAATATATAATCCAAAATAGAATTATAAAATATGAAATTCCCCTGATTATGAAAAGTAAATATATATATATATATATATATTACAATGTTGGCTTGGCTCGAAAATCCATATTCCAAGCATTACTTTAAATTTGATGATCGGAATAATTACATGCATGTATCAAAGGATAGCGTTCCAATTGACAGTATTATGACTTAACCTAATGACGGCTGTGTGGTTTTTTGAGATCAACTTACATGAAGGATGAAGCCAATGTAAAACTGGAATTGTAGCATTTTTCTTGAAGAGAAATAAATCAATTTCAGAGTTGTTGCTCGCAACGGAATGCAGGTTTAGAAACATAATGAGCCAGTTCAAAGCACTGAGATCAATACAGATGCAACACGAGTTATGATAAGACGACAAATATTATGCAAGGGCATTCTGTCTTGTGGAATAGAATCCTCTCTCCTGTGTGTGTGTGTATTAATTGTTTTAAAATACATTTCGATAAAACTTCTTATTGTGTTTTTAACAATAAATAAAAATAAATGTAAAACTTAAATTTATTTCAACTACTTTTAAATAGTTTAATATGATTAAAAAAACTTGTTAAAAAAACAAAAACGAATGTATGACACTATAACCTAACTAATGAAAAGTTTCAGAGTAGTTTCTTAAATAATTAAGTTTATCCCCATTTTAAGGAACATCTATGAAACATTTTTTTGATTTTTTAGTTATTTTAACAACATAATTTAGCGTTATTGTGGTATCAGGATACGGATGACATCCCCTTACGGCTTGCTTATAATGGATTCTGGTCCAACGTACGCATTGAACCACCTCGAACATGTTTTTCCTCATTATTCCACGAGAAAAACAAATCGCTCATTTCAGACTTTTTTTTTTAATTGGTTTCGATTTTCCATGTTATGATCCGTAAGGTATGAAAAATCAGTCGTCGGGTGTCTGATTGGCATGAGAAAATAGTGCGAGAAGATCTGATCTGTCGCGATAGCGAAGAGAGCGGTAAGTGTCAAATTTTCTAAAGCGAGTTTCCTTCTAAATTTGTCTAATCTCTTTCAAATGAAATCACTGAATCAGCTAAAGCAGCAAAATTCACGTAAATCGTATTAAAACCAAACGAATGAGAAAGCCGTAAGTGCGCAAAAATTGACGTAGTCCCAAGCAAGACAGCAGTAAGTGACAATATTCCTCTAGAGAGCCAATGAAAGCTGTGCTTTCATGTAAAATGCCGCCCTTTTCTGCAAATTTCTGACCTGAAAATGTGTTTGTTGCGTGCCTAAAACGCAACCACGAAAGCATGCAGAAGATAGCAATTACAGCTGTCTCACCTAACACTAGCCTAGGATGAAAATGAAAAATACCCTTTTTATGTAATTGAAATAAAATCAGTCGATTTTTAATCATCCAAACGATTTCTTGGAGTCTTCCGGACGATCAGTTGCAATTTGACCAAGAACGGAGGCTTCTTTCAATACAATTTTCCGGTGAGAACGTTTCTGAGCCCGTTTTCTCAGAACTTCATTTTTCCACTTACTGGTCTCTTTGCTATCACGGACGCTATCAGCGCAGGCCGTGTAAGACATTGAAACCGTCCTATATTATACATTTAAAACCAGATCAACGGAGTAGAGGCTCAGGTTAGTCGTTATATGCGATTGGTTCAGATGATCGATGATCCTTTGCTAAGAAGCGACGACACTTAAGAAACGCCTTCATTGGGAGAAGATACTTCCTAGCGTTGCCTCAGAGGTCGAATAGTTGCATCATTCAAAAATCCGATCACCCGTGTAGCAGCATTTATTAGCGAGTGATGTGGTTCCTCAGGGGATATGTCCTCGATGAAAAGTGACGATGCGTAAGAAACGCCTTCATTGAGAGAAGATACTTCCTAGCGTTTCCTTAGAGGTCGAATAGTTGCACCATTCACTTACTGCTCTCTTCACTATCACGGCTGTGATGTCACGCACTATCTCTATTCAATGCAGTCTCTCACAGTCTTATATTCTCTTTGGCAGTGGCGTAAACGGGGGGGGGGGGTGTCCAGGGGGTCTGGACCTCCCCCCTCCCCCTTAGCCTCGTCAATTGTGCATTTTTTTTACTTTTGAAGGAGGGACATAAAACATTATCAGGGATGTACACAAAATAATGTAAATTTACCGTCAAGTTTTTGAAATGGACCCCTCCCCCATATGTGCTGGTTACACGCTCAAATTTCCATCAATTTCCGATCAAATGGTGACTGGTGCGCACCATCTACCATCAAATTTCTGCGGCCTGCAAAAATTTGATGGTAGATGATGGAGCTGTGGGGCTCGTCTTTCATCTGATTTCCACACAACCGTGCTTATTTCAATTAACACGCTGTTTTAATTAATTTTACTCATCAATCTAGATAACTCTCGACCGCCATCTTGGTCATCATTTTGATCGAAATTTGACGGAAATTTGAGCGTGTAACCAGGCCATTAAAGAATTCCTAGCTATGCCACTGCTCTTCGATCTCTAACAATATCATGAGCCACTTTTCTTCCCCTTATGGTCACGCGGGTTGTTTTTCGTGGCGTTAGCTGCGAGCTCTTTCTTCCACTCCTCCTCGGTGACGAAGAACTCGTTGTGGTAGACGAGATCCTCGTAAGCCTCCTTGACGGCCACGCAAGGGATCTCAAGATGGACGGATCCGTTGGGTTTTCGAGAGGTGACCGTGAAGTAGCCGGCCTCTTGGAGAAGCTGCAGAAGGAGCCCCTTGTTGTGGGTCCCCTTGAAGTTCGCGACAGTCATGTGGCCGGCCTGTCGCAGCTGGAATAGGTCCGTTATCGAGATCACCCCTTGCGGTGTCAAATCCGTTCCATTTTCGACAGCCTCGTGAAGGTGCTCGCCCATCATTTCATACCTGCAATGGAGAATTTGTATGCACATTTTTATTGCTCCATCTGAAAGTGCTTAAAGAGCTAATTTCACAGTATTTTTCATAAATTTTGTCTGATATGGGAAATAGTATAAAAATCAATTTAAAAATGAGAAAATGCACCGCCTAGTGACGTCATCTGGCGGCATTTCCAATTTAAACATATATGTATTCTAGCAGATTAGATCATTTTGTCATATCTTCTCCAATAATTGTTCAATTTATGAATCAAGGGTATCCTCGTGTTCAGTTCACTCAGTAGTTTCCACTTAAACACGAGATTCGTCAAATTTCAGACACTTGCAAATGCTCCATTATTCGTCTCGATTATTATTACTATGCCCAAGTAGCAGTGATCGCGATAAATCTCGATTTTATCAGTTGGTAATTGCGATTATATCGGTGGCAATATATCGAGATATTATAGCATTAAAAATTGCGGTATATGGCGAATAAATCGCGATTTTTGGTTCGATGAAATCGTGATCAATTTTTGTCGATAAAATCGAGATTAAATCGGCATTTTTCGCGATTTTTATTTCGAAAATATCGCGGTAAATTGTCGGGAGATAAAATCGCAATTTAACGCGATAAGATCGAGGATAATTGCTCAGATGTTGATGATCCTTGGGTGTCCTCGCCTTCCGGTCAAAGTACACGGAGAAAAAAACTTCATGCGTGGGACCCGAAGTTTAGGTCATATGGATCTCTCAAGTTTTCGGATTGAGCATCTGAACACTTTAGGTCCAGCTACTGAGGTTTGGATCACACACCTGAAACTTCAGTTCTAACATCTGAAGTACTTCGGTTCTCACATCAGAAAAACTTCGGTTCTCACATCTGAAGTACTTAAGATGTAAGAACTGAAGTTTCAAATGTGTGATCCGAACCTCGACAGCTAGACCTAAAGTGTTCAGATGCTCAATCCGAAAACTTCAGAGATCCATATGACCTAAACTTCGGGTCCCACGCACGAAGTTTTTTTCTCCGTGTTTTACAAGTGCCATTCATGTCGATCGAATCCAAAACTTCCCTTAATCACAGCCTGGAAGGAAAAGTTGGATCGATCTTTAAGTAAAAAATTGTCATATTCCATTTTTTCGCATTTTTACCTCCAGGAGGTTTTTCACCCTTTTCTTGTGATGTTTTATTTTAAAATTTGGGCTAGAAAGGTAAAATGCCCGTAAGTGTTGTCTTTAGCTGAAGGCGGACCCCCGTATCTACGCAATGAAGGCAAATTGGTTATGAAATTCTTAAAACTCACTTTTCATCTAGTATCTTTACTCAACTTTCAAGTGACAAATATATGTACTAAAAGCTCCGAGACCTCCTAAATTTGCACAACTGGCAACGCTTAGTTTCAGCGCTCTACTGGGCCGATTTTCATATTTGCGGTCATCGACAGGTGATTCCCAGATGAGCCCGCTGTAATCAGATTTTAAGACTAGTACCTAGTTTTTACATTTTAGTTAGTTAGTACCTAGACTAGTTTTTTTTATATAAGAGTAGATCAGGGAACTTACAAAGGGGGGCAAAATTTGAAATTCCCGCCACTGAAAAATGCCGGGTGTTTCAAATTTAAGGGGTACGCTTCTTTGCTACAGATTATGTATGCAAATGCGACGAAACGCTCCGTTCTGTTCGTTCCGTTTCTTTTAAGTCTTGGCGTGATGTTTGAAATAGATGACGATTTTTTCATATGATTCTTATTGGTTCAATCGCTCCCCGTCATAGGGAGATTGGACAAATGAGAGTTGGGTACACTGAAAACAAATTCTCGGCGTTTTTACCAAGGTCCGTTGGTGCCCTTACCATCTCACTTTTTTTTACCAATTATTGGTAATTTTACCAAGACAAACTGGTAAGCTTACCTAAAAACCGGTATTTTTACTGTTTTTTTTCAGGTGAGAATACCACTTTTATTGGTAATCAATTCCCGGTAACTTTGCCATTTTATCTCGGTTATTCTACCACAGTCGATAAAAAAATTGGCGTTTTTACCAAGGTCCAGTAAAATTAACTAAATCAACTAAGGCTAAAATCAACTTAAAAACTCAATTCGCTTACGTATCTAATTGCCACCAGACTAGTTTCGGGAGCTCCGATCATCTCCCATCTTCAGTGGTTGTTGACTGATTCGGAATTCGTGGTCGCATTGCACGCATGTGGCTGAACTTTGGACTCCAATGCTTGGAACAGGATGTTGTCTAGTCCGTCCAAATCCTCATTTAAAACGTTCGCGCGGTGTTTAAAAATATATAACTTCTCTGCTGTGTTTAGTTGACTGACTAAAAAGTCTAAAGACTAAAAAGACTGACTGTCCAGTAAAATTACCGAGAAAGTTCAATAATTTTACCGAGAAAAAACTGGGATCAAATAGAACCCTTAATTCTTGGTAATTTTACCCTTTTCTTAGTAAATACGCCGAGATGTTTTTTTCAGTGTATGAAAAAATTTTCGTTTTTTTTGTCGTTCTTTTGTCGGAGCGGGCCACCGATTTTGCCAGTGGCTCGTCAGTAGTGCTTACACCGGAAGTTCTCCCTCCTCCGAAGTTAAAAAAAAAAATGAAACGGGTAAGCTTTGCGAACCTGAAGATTGGTTTGTAGATGCGGAAGAGAGGCGGCGAAGGGATTTTGATTCCTTCGCCCTCCAGATACGCGACAACGGATCCGGTGTTGAAAATCTTGATCTGCGTGTCGCAGATCCTGTAGCCGCCGAAGTGGTACTTGATCCGATCGAGATCCACTGCAGCCTGGTCCTTGCTCCGTCCCAAGCGCCCGATAAGCGCCTCTACCTCGGCCAAGGTGAGCCCGAAATGCTGGCTGATCTGCGGGTCGGCGAAGATGGACTTGTAGAGGAGGTTGTCGTCGTGCCCTTGTCGGTGACTCCCCATCCGGAACACCCCCGTCAGCAAAGTCCGAGACACGAACGCCGAATGCTTCGCCGTCTCACCCAGCGAGAAGTAGATCTCCTCCACCTCCGTCTGTGGCAAGAATGAAGCAATGCATGAGAGACGCGCTTGATGAAGAGGAAAAATGGAGATGTTGCATGTGCGAGGGCTTTGCGATTTGACCATCGATTCTTAGGTAGAAGTTAACGAGAAACACGATGGTGCCACTGGTTTTCTCTGAAATCAACTCCTAAGCCCAAAAAAAAGCTCTCAAGTTGAGGCCAAAATGGAGGGGATATCCCTCGCTATCTTGAGAGTCCACCTCTACATCAAGACAAACTCTCCATGCAAAGATAGGGAGCAAATACATTTGAAGGGTTGCCGTGTTTTCAGTTTTGGAGTCTCCAAATAAAGTGACAGCCCTGTCAATGTATTTGCTCCCTATCTTTGCATGGAGAGTTTGTCTTGATGTAAAGGTGGACTCTCAGGGTAGGGTGGGATATCCCCTCCATTTTGGACTCACTTTGAGAGCGTTTTTTGAGCTTGGGAGATGATTTCAGAGAAAACCAGTGGCACCATCGTGTTTCTCGCAAACTTTTACAAAAGAATCAATGGTCAAATCGCAAGTCCCTAACACATGCAACATCTCCATTGGATGTATTTCTACCAGACAGGACTAGGTGCGGGTGCGGAATTTGGGGTGTGCTCGTTATTCGATGGCCGTAAGAATGAATGGGAATTATAAAGCGCCACTGACGTCAGCGGCGACGAAGCCGCTGCGAGCTCTGCCGTGCTGACGAAGAACGACTTATGAACCTTCGGGCGTTGCCAAAATTCCTTCAATAAAACGCGAGTTTCCTGATAAAGTTATGAATATTTTCCTCCCAATGGAGATGTTGCATGTGTGAGGAATTTGAGATTTGACTATTGATTCTTATGTAAAAGTTTACGAGAAACACGATGTTTGAGGTTTGACGATGAGGTTTTCTCTGAAATTAACTCCGAAGCTCAAAAAAAGCTCTCAAGTTGAAGCCAAAATGGAGGGGATACACCATGCTATCCTGGGAGTCCACCTCTACATCAAGACGAACTCTCCATGCAAAGATAGGGAGCAAATACATTGACAGGGCTACCACTTTATTTGGGGACTCTAAAACTGAAAGCACGGCATCACTGCTAAATTATTTGCTCCCTACCTTTGCATGGAGAGTTCGTCTTGATGTAGACGTGGACTCTCAGGATAGCGTGGGATAGCCCCTCCATTTTGGCCTCAACTCAAGAGCTTTTATTGAGCTTACTACGTGCTGCCAGCACGAAACGCGCATTGGCGCCTACAAACCTAACAGGGATACTACACGCATTGCGTAATGCGTGAAGTATCGCTGTTAAGTTTGTAGGCGCCAATGCGCGTGTCGCGCTGGACGACCTCGCCCGCCGCGCCGCGGCGCTTCAAGCAACTATTTCGCAGCAGAAGTGTTGCACAGTATCATACAAAATTGAGGGCGCTCTAACACATTACATATGACAGTCATAAACCGAGCTTTCCTCGCAAAATATATTAAGATACTATGGCACAAAAAGAGAGAGGTTGTCCAACAACTCACCAAGACCTACCATCCATATTTAATAACTTTTAGCATAATTTTTGAATTTCACCAGAGGAAAAAGTGACTTGATTTAGGCAGAAACATTCTTGAGTATGCCGTTACGAAGATTTTATTTTGAACCAAGAATACATTTTTGAGCTTGGGAGTTGATTTCAGAGAAAAACAGTTGCATTACCCTGTTTCTAGCGAACTTTTACATAAGGATCAATTGTCAAATCGCAAATCCCTCACACCTTCAACGTCTCCATTTCCCGTCCAATTTTTCGAGGAATTTTCTTCGTAATGTGAGCTAAAGTATCAGAGAATATTAGGTAGAAATATTCATTATTCGTCTCAAAAATTTATGTTTTACGAGGAGAAATTCGGCATCCCTCGGATGTTCACACGGCGTTTTTCCTTAGCATGGCAGAATCCCTGTTCATTTTTGCTGCCCTCGACTAAACGAGTATACCCCATCTTCCCCATTTGCATATAGCTTTGTTTAGGAGAAAGGGGTAATCCAAGAACCGCACACTTCTTAAAAAGGGCGACTCGGAACCGCACCAATACGGGCGCAAACCGCACACATTTCTCTATGTTAAATTGTGTATTAAATCATACGAGACGGAACATAACCGGACTGTTCGGCAACGGGTAAGTGACAGCGATTAAGAGATCTCCTCTGATAGTGTCTCCCCTATCTTTATAATCTAACTGCAGCCGGCTGCTTTGCAGTGCTAAGGAGGAACACCGTATAAACATTTGAGAGTTGCCAAATTGACTTCGATAAAAAAAAATTTTTTCAGGAAAGTTATGACTATTTTTCCTTTAAATTTCAGAATCTTTAGGTGAAATTGCAAACATACTCATTTACAAAATTGGGAGGAAAATATTCATGAGTTCACCAGCCGATTCACGTTTTATACAAGGAAATTTGACAACGCCTGAATGTTCATGGGGCGTTTTTCCTGAGCACGGCGGCGCCGCACAGTGGATCGAGTCAATGAGAGAAGTCGGACATAAGATGTTTGATTAAAACTTCAAATTTTGATGTTTTTGTCGTCACATTTTAGACTTTAAGGGGTGTTTCTTGAAGAAAATTTCACAGGGAAACCAATAAAACCACATTTGGAACCTTAAAATTTTATATAAACGGAGTTTTAAGCGTTTAAAGTTTTCAAACTTTGTCCGACCTCTCCTATTGACTCGACCCACTGTGCGCCGATACCGGCTGATAAAAGGAAGCGATGACCCGGCCAGTCACGTCAATTGCATCAGTCCGTGTCTCGTGTGTGGTGCAGCATGGCAGATTTCAAGATCATTGAAACGAATAAAGGGGGGAAGTGCGTATTTTTTGACGGTTTTATAAACCGTTGGTTCCGAAAATTGAAGTTCAAAAATGTTGTGTGGCGATGTGTAAAGAAAAATTGCTGTGCGACATTAAGGTGATTCGATGGACGCCATATTTTGTGTCAGAACGGCATGCGATATATCGCATCAATTGGTTCTATTTTTTCAGCTACTCGTCATTTTTCTCCAATTCTGAGATCGCAATTTTGTTGTCAGGAGACTAAAGCACTCACTTACCAATTTTAACAAAGAAATTCAACGTAATAAAGGCGTGGTTTTTTCAGAGAGAAAATATCGCATTCGAGTGCAGTTTCGATATCAGTATCGAATGCGATGTTTTCTCTCTGAAAAAACCACGCCTTTATTAAGTTGAATTTCTTTGTTAAAATTGGAAAGTGAATGCTTTAGACTCCTGACAATAGAGGTGCGATCTCAAAATAGGAGAAAAATGACGAGTAGCTGAAAATATGGAACCAATTGATGCGATATATCGCATGCCGTTCTGACACAAAATATGACGTCCATCGAATCACCTTAAAAGCGAACTCGCTTATTCATAATATTTTGGAGACAAAGGGTCATCGCGAAAATCGCATGACCAAGCGGAAAATAAGGTGATCAATCGTCAGCGAATGTGCGCTGCTTGTGAAAGTAAAGCGACTAAAATTTCCTAAAAAGCATCCGTCAAGAATTAAGCTCAATCGAAAATAACGATTTCGAAAAAAATGACGCGGGTTCATGCCGAAAAGCCATTCACCGTGTACGTCGTAAAACCTACCCCGGTTACCGGGCTTGGACTTTTGTCGCCGAGTCACATTTGCAATACCAATAACGCCGTTATCGTTTCAAAGGCAAAAAAATTCTCATTTCTATGCCCCGAAACCCCCTGTATTTTTAGTCCTAGACGTTTTGCAAAACTTTCAAGTCGATAAAACTATTAAAATGAACTCGCCAGCTAATAACCGGTCGGCAGTCAAAAGATCAACAGTAGAAGAAAAAACGCGCATTTTTATGTGACGGATACAATCTGTTGGAGGCTGCTCACTTTAAAGAGGATTCGCTGCTCAGCTAACTGAAGATAGTGAGAGAAAAAAACACTAAAAAGTGGGCCGAAGTGTATGTAACAAGGTGGAGAAATGGTGCTGGGTCCACACCATTTCGCGGGGAAATCAAAGCCAAGATGTTCCAAAAATTATAATTAGAGTCAAAAATAATTTTTTCTTAACTCCAATGAGTACCAGTACGAAACTGAGGGGGAGAGTGTTCAGCTCAGACAGTTTGCATTTTGAATTGGAGTTGAATAGGCAGTTAAATTGGAATGCATTGGACTCAAACTTAATATTCCAATGCAAACTGCCTGAGCTCTCAGTTTTGTACTGGTACTCATTAGAGTCGCAAGAAAATCTATTTTTGACTCTAATTATATTTTTTGAACTTCTTGGCTTTGATTTCCCCGCAAAATGGTGTGGGCCCAGCACCGTTCCTCCACCTTGCTACCTGAAGAAAGTTGATCTGCGATGTCAGCCTGTCAGGATTTAAAAGGTAGGATTTAAAAAACGATTACTGTGTGTGTGTGGTTGTTTCCTTTCACCTTTTGCTATTGATGTGTGCATTTCCCGCCCCCCCCCCGACATATAATTATATTGAACAGTAACATACGAGATTGAAGGCACCCCAACGTATCATGATTGGTGGCATCAAAAGCATGAAGTTCCTTCACAAATTAAATCGAGTGACGACAACAAAAGAAGAACGGTAGTCGGAAAACTTACTGAGCCCTAGTAGCCGTGTTCAATAACGGTTGGAAAAAGTGACTTGATACAAACAGAAGTATGCTCAAATTTACCGAGAAAATTTTCTTCTGAATAAATGAAGAAAATAATGCTTGTTGAAAGAAGAAAATATGGTTTTATAAAAAGAAAAGTCACTTACATCAAGCAGAAACCCGCTTTCATTCAGCTATCTTATTCTTGATTCAAAATAAAATCTTCTTGCCGGCATATACTCAAGAATGTTTCTGCCTACATAGAATCACTTTCTTCTCTATTGAAATTCAAAAATCATGCTAAACGTTATTAAAGACGGATGCTAGGACATTGTGAGTTTTTTTACTACCGCTCTCTTTTTGTGCCGTAGTGTCTTGATTTACTTTGCGAG